GACAGTGTCAAAGGCCTTGCTGAAGTCCAGAAAGACTACATCCACGGTGACACCTGCATCCAATGCTTTTGTGACCTGATCGTAAAAGGCAATCAGGTTGGTCTGACAGGACCTGCCCCTAACGAAACCGTGCTGGTTGCCCTTGAGCATCATCCCCGATGCTGGCCCATCACAGATGTGCTCCTTGATGATCTTCTCAAAGAGTTTCCCCAGGATTGAGGTAAGACTGATGGGCCTATAGTTGCCCGGGTCCTCCCTCCTCCCTTTCTTAAAGATGGGGACCACATTGGCTATCTTCCAATCATCTGGCACCTGGCCCGAGCACCATGAGCAGTCATAAAGCCATGCTAAGGGCCCTGCAATAACCCCTGCTAGCTCCCTCAACACCCTGGGGTGGAGAGCATCTGGACCTGCTGATTTGAACACGTCCAGCCCCTCCAGAAGCGCTGTAACCCAGTCCTCCTCAACCTTAGGTCTGGAGGCGTTCCCCTCGAGTCCGTCTTGAAGCACGGTGGGGGAGTCCCGGTCCCTGCACAAGAAAACGGAGGTGGAGAATTTGTTAAAGAGTTCTGCCTTCTCCTCTGGCGCAACCACCAGATTGCCCAGCATATCTTGCAGGGGCCCCACATTTCCCAGTGCCTTCTTCATCCTCCCTATATATTTGAAAAAGGACTTTTTATTATCTTTGATCTTGGACCCTAGTCCTAGCTCTATGTCTACACGGGCCAAAGGCTGGGTGACCGCTTTCTGCAATACAGCAGCATGAGTCTGCTTGCCTGAATGCAGCCACTGGAGAGGACTAAGCAGGTCGGCATCCACAAGTCCATCCTGCACTGCTAGGAGAATTATGGATGCTCCTGAGTGTGGATGCACTGGTGCCGGGCCAGGCTGAAGGAGTGCCTGAAGCTCCTTCCACACTCAGAGCAGTGATGCGGCTTCTCCCTTGTGTGGATGCGCTGGTGCTGGGCCAGGGAGCTGGATCTGGTGAAGCTCTTCTCACACACTGAGCACTGATGTGGCTTCTCCCCTGTGTGGATGCGCTGGTGTTTGGACAGGGAGCTGGATCGGGTGAATCTCGTCCCACACTCAGAGCACTGATATGGTTTTTCCCCTGTGTGGACACACCGGTGTTTGGCCAGGGAGCTGGATCGGGTGAACCTCGTCCCACACTCAGAGCACTGATATGGCTTCTCCCCTGTGTGGACACGCTGGTGTTTGGCCAGGGAGCTGGATCGGGTGAACCTCGTCCCACACTCAGAGCACTGATATGGCTTCTCCCCTGTGTGGACACGCTGGTGTTTGGCCAGGGAGCTGGATCGGGTGAATCTCGTCCCACACTCAGAGCACCGATGTGGCTTCTCCCCTGTGTGGACACGCTGGTGCCGGGCCATAGAGCTGGATCTGGTGAAGCTCTTCCCACACACCGAACATTGATACGGCTTCTCCCCTCTGTGGATACGGTGGTGCTGGGCCAGGTGGCTAGACTGAGTGAATCTCTTCCCACACACCAAGCACCGATGTGGCTTCTCCCCTGTGTGGACACGCTGGTGCCGGGCCATAGAGCTGGATCTGGTGAAGCTCTTCCCACACACCGAACATTGATACGGCTTCTCCCCTCTGTGGATACGGTGGTGCTGGGCCAGGTGGCTAGACTGAGTGAATCTCTTCCCACACACCGAGCACTGATGTGGCTTCTCCCCGGTGTGGAGACGGTGGTGCATGGCCAGGGACCTAGACTGGGCGAATCTCTTCCCACACTTGGGGCACTGATGTGGCTTCTCCCCAGTGTGGCTGACCTGGTGTCGGGCCATACAGCCAGAACTCCCGAATCTCTTCCCACACACCGAGCACCGATGTGGCTTCTCTCGTGTGTGGACATGCTGGTGCCGGGCCATGGAGCTGGATCTGCTGAATCTTTTCCCGCACACCGAGCACTGATGCGGCTTCTCCCCTGTGTGGATACGGTGGTGCTCGGCCATGGACCTGGATCTGGTGAATCTCTTCCCACACACCGAGCACTGATGTGGCTTCTCCCCTGCATGCATGCGCTGGTGCCTGGCCAGGTTGGAGGGCTGCCTGAAGCTCTTTCCACACTCGGTGCAGCGGTGTGGCTGCTGCCCGCTCTGCACACACTGGTGCTGGGACAGGTCTTGTGGGGTGGCAAAGCTCTTCCTGCACTCGGTGCAGCGGTGCACCTTCCTGCCCAAATGGACGCGCCAGTGCTGAGCCAGGGAGGAGAAATGGCTGAAGGGCTTACCACACGGGACACAGCGCGAGCTGCACACCAGGCTCTTCCCACGCTGGGTGAAGCAGTGAGGGGTGTTTCCACAATGCACCTTGCGGTGAGCGCTCAGGGTCGAGAGGCAGGGGAAGCTCTTCCCGCACTCTGCGCACATGTGGGGCTTCTCCCCAGACGGCCTCATCTTGTGCAAAGCCCTAGGGCAGTTTAAGGTTTTCCTGTGCTGGGGGCAGGGCTCCTTCTGCTTTTGGGGCCTCCCCTCACTCTGGTGCCACTGGGAATCCTCTGGTCTCAGGGCGTCCATCTCAGCCTGACTCCCTGGGCAAGTCTGTGGGGGCTCCAGGTTTGCAGAAGGCTGCTGCTCAGCTCGGGAAGGCAGCCAGGCACCTGCTGCGGGGGGAGGAGAAACTACATGTTAGTCCCTGCATTGCTGGAATCACTTCATGCTCTAAGGGGTGCAGGAGCAGACCAGAGGCATCTGCTTAAAGGAGGAAAGAGGCTCTCTAAGGGCTGCTCTGTCCCACAGCACTGGTGGGTCCAGGGGGAGATGATGCCGAGCCCTGCCCCTGACTGTGTGGACATGCTCCAGATGCCGAAGGGCATTGGTGAGACTGCTCTCCAGCGCTCGCCTCGATCTCCGCAGTGCTGAGAGCAGCATCTGGGTACAAGGGTGAACAGCCTCACGCTGGATTTGGGGGTTTGTTGTACAGGTGTGCACTGGCCCACCTGTTTCAGTGCTTCACACGAAGGCTGCTCTTGTTAGTTAGGTAGAAAAAGCCAGTGGGTTTCAACCCTCATTCATACAAGAAATGTTTTGGGAGGACAGGACTTAAAGAGATGGCTCACTTTTGGGAAAGCAGCAGGGCTGTGCTTCCTGCCTGCTTGCAGGGAAAGTTCTGGGGCAGGGAATGAGCCACGGAGGGGTCCTCTGCTGACACGTCCCAGGTGGCCTCCACATCACCGGAGTCTGCACCAGGATAAAGCCCTTGGCATCACCTGCATGTGGACTCTGTGCCGAGTCTCAGGCCCTGTGACACTCAGGGCCCAAAAGATGAAACTGCAAGAGGGAGAGTCTGGTGCAAACCACGGGGGATTTACTTCCCCCACCACAACGTGAAAGCTTGGGAATCCCACCCCCACAATGGAGCCATTTCATGTAGCCTGAAACCAGCATTCAACACTTCTGGTGTTCCCGGTCATTTGGACCAGGAGAAACCAGGGACAGCCCCAGGCTCTCTCTGATCCACCAATACTGGCTGCACAGAGCTTCTGCCAACCATGCAGATTTCCATGGGGGATTGCAAATCCCATCATGCCCCGGGACAGGGTGGTGTACAGGTGTGGCTACTTTGGGCTCAGCAATCGACTCTTACATCGGTGTAGACCATGTAAAGAAACACCTTGAAAGGCTGGCCACGTTCAAGTCAGCGGGTCCTGACAGACTGCACCCCAGAGCACTCAAGGAGCTGGCAGGCGTGATACCCCAGCCATGGGCAAAGATATCTGAATGCTCCTGACACTCAGGTGAAGTACCTGAAGAGTGGAAGAAGGCCAATGTGGTGCCCATCTTCAAGAAAGGGACAAAAGTAGATCCGGGGAACTACAGGCCAATCAGCTTGACCTCAATGCCGGGAAAAATTCTGGAAAAAAATGATCAAAGAGACCATTCTTGACGAGCTGGCTGATGGGACAGCCAGCACGGGTTTGTCATGGGTAGGTCTTGCTTGACCAATCTCATCTCCTTCTATGACCAGGTGATGTATCACCTGGACAAGGGAGAAGAGATTGACATCATATATCTGGACTTTAAAAAAGATTTGGATCTGGTGTCCCATGATCACCTCAAGGAAAAATCAGCCAACTGTGGCCTTGGCTACATCACAGTCCGATGTGTGGAGAATTGGCTCCGAGGCCGGACCCAGAGAGCGGTAGTCGACAGAAATGAATCATTGTGGTGCACGGTGACCAGTGGGATCCCCCAAGGGGACCTGTTCTCTTTAACATCTTCATGAATGATGCAGACACTGGTGTCAGAAGCAGACTGGCCAAGTTTGCCGGTGACACTAAACTTTGGGGTACAGCATCCACACCTGAGGATAGACCGGTGATCCAGGCGGACTTGGATAAGCTTAGTAAGTGGGCAGACACAAACCTGATGATATTCAATACTGAGAAATGCAAGGTGCTGCACCTTGGAAAAAATGCCCTGCAGCACGTTTATAGGCTCAGCATCACTAGCACCATGGCCCAAAGAGACTTGGGGGTCATGATCGACCACAAGATGAACATGAGCCACCAATCTGGGGGATGCCTGTTCACCAGAGCACCCAGACAAGGTCCAGCAGTCACAAACTCCTCCAGGACTGTTTTAGGCTGGACATAAGGAAAAACTTCTTTACTGTCTGAGCCCCAAGGTCTGGAATAGGCTCGCTCCAGAAGTGCTGCAAGCACCTACTCTGCACTCCTTGAGGAGACATCTGGACGTTTATCTTGCTGGGATCCTTTGACCCCAGCTGACTTCCTGCCCCTGGGGCGCGGGCTGGACTTGATGATCTTCCAAGGTCCCTTCCAGCCCGAATGTCTATGAAATACATCGCTGACTGAGGATGGAAATCAAAGGTCCTGATATCCATCGGGAAACCAGATCTGTGCCTGAAGACAACGACAACAAATGTGCAGTTGCTTGTCTCCAAAGCTTTCACTTCTGGGGAGTGGGAACAACACCCGCCTGCACACATCCCAGCATGAGCTACGTGGGGTCAGCCCCTGCGAGGGCAGCACCGGGCAGCTCTGCAGTTTCCAACCCCCGTCACTCGGGGCAAGGAGCATTGCTGGGAGGGGAGCCAGGGGATGGGATCGCCACAACTCACCTGCAGCCAGGTCCTCCCGCCGTGAGCTTTCCCCTCGCTCCTGCCCAGCACAGCCCCAGAGCTCCCCCTGGCCTTGCTGGAGATGGCAGATTAAGTCAGGGGTTGGACCTCGATATCCTGTTTGGGGCAGGAGTTAAAGAGGGTTTGTGACCGAGCACTGCATGCAGAAAAACCAAGCGGGATGCAATCAACTCATGGATTCTCCTGGGCCTTGAAGGAAAAGGAAGGATGGGAATTTTGGTTGAAAGGGAAGGCGCTGCAGGGAGAAGCCTTCAACAGATGATGGTCTGTGCCACCTAGGTAGTGGAGGGATGGTCCTAGGGAAAAAACAGCACCAAAAACTTGGAGATATAAAAGGCTGTGAAACAACAGTCTCCAGGGACAGACGCAGTGATCTGCGCTGTGCTACAAGGAAGAAAGACAAAGCTTTTATTATTTTCAAGGTACTGAGATGGAGAGACATTACCCTCTGGCTGGGTAACACTTCTCTTAGCAGTGTAATTCCAGGCAAAGGAGTGGAAAGGAGTTTCTTCTCACTGAAAGTTTAACTGTAGGACTCGTGGTAGTGTGTCAAGGTGGTAGTGGAGACCCTGTAGCAGAGCTGGGGAGAAATTTGGGGGGGTCCTTGTCAGAGGGGTTGTTGAACGAAGAGGGGATGTAGGATGAAGTGGAACAAGGGGAGATTAGTACTCCCAAGAGTAGGGAGAAAGGTGAGGTATCATGGAAGAATAGGAAAAACGAGGGGATAGGGCACCTGGCTGAAAGTGCAGAAAAGAAAAACGGAGGACTGAAAAACACAGGAAAGGTGGAGGAGGAGTAGAAAAATACGAAAAGGCAGAGAACTGGAGGATCAGAGACGGGGCAGGAGGACGCAGACTTCCTCTGTAGAGGACCCCCAACCAGAAAATTCAGGCCAAGGATGCAAGGAGGTGTCATCATGACAGCCCTCAGGGGAGGGAAAGGAAAGCACGAAGGGAAAATGATGAAGTGTCCCTTTGCAAAACAGTTGCTGATGGTCACATTGGTCCTTGCAAAGGTCGGTGTCAAGAGTACTCTAGGCACAGGTAAGTGGGCACGAGCAGAGGAGTTCCTGGCTCTAGTACAGGTACATGCATGCCTCCAGGAGTGTGGTATACCGGGGAGATTACGCTTGCTTTGAGGAGAGGTGGACCTGGGGACCTTCACGGTGGCCTCGCACTAATGCAAGTAGGGCATCTGGGGAGTGGCTGTGGCACAGGAGCCATAGAGTAGAATTGGAAAGGGAGTAGAGATGTTGAGCGGGAGGATTTTACAGGGGCAAGGCATTTGGTAAGACTTTGAATTTTGGATATATCGATATAAAATGTGAGAGGCTTCACCACCCACTAAGCAGTGGGAAGGACCTGAATTTCAAACCCCAGCCATAACTCTGTTGAAAACCAGGGAGAAGACAAGAAACGTGGGCGCTCACATGGCCGCAGGGAGAAGCCAGGAGCAGAGCCTTACCCAGGGAAACGAGGGCTTGGTAATTCCTCAGCATCTGGTCCCGGTAAAGCTCCTTGCCTTCATCGTCCAGCAGCTCCCACTCCTCCCGCGTGAAATACACTGCCACGGCCTC